TTTCTGCGTATGTACTGTTACATTAAATACATAAGTAAGCCACTTTACTATCAATATTTGTCAATGAAATTAACATTATATTGAATGTCATTTAAATTTTAATTACTTTGTTTCAAAGGAATCCTTTCAAAAAAAATACTTAAGCTGCAGTTTTTCTGTCATGTTATCCACAAGCAATGAAAAATCATGACTTTTAGCAGCGATTCACTGTTGGCTACAATGTAGTTGGCAATGTAGATGAGTGTATAGAGAACAGTGTAGCATCTGTGTGGCTTTTTGACACCTAAGATACAAAGTCTCACAGTTGTGTTCACTAGGAAAGAGAATTAAATTTTCCAACCCTTGATGGGTACCATGCCCACCTTCTATACTTTGCCTTGAGATCTACAAGGTATATGTGGTTAGTTGACACAAATGTATGTATTCATTAGAAAGAGCTAGTTTACACTATACTGCGCCAACAATTAATTTGAAATCAGCATGGAGTTTTGGAACTGAAGTAGGTGTAACTGCCGTTGGTATTGTTGTCTGCTAGATCGACTATTGACTGCCGTTGGTATTGTTGTATGCTCGATCGACTATTGACTGCCGTTGGTATTGTTGTCTGCTCGATCGACTATTGACTGCCGTTGGTATTGTTGTATGCTCGATCGACTATTGTACTTATGATGTTTTCTTACCTAAATATGCCGTAGTTAGATAGACAGTTAAATTCTATTTAGATCTTAGTTTTTATATTTTAGTTAATTATGTGTTATTTGTGTTTTAGAAATCGTACTTGAAAGGTTTAGTGATTTTTTGTAAGTTGAACTTGTTGTTGCCTGGATTGTGAAAACGTATATACAAGATGGCATCGTTCGTTTGTGCAAGGCGTTAGTGAAACGAGTCTCTTTATGGGAGTCGCCGTATAATAATAATAAAGCCCTGCAGGCACTAATTGACATATTGGCATAAATAATAAAAGACAAATAATTGGAAAGGAAAATTAAAATAGTTTGGTGGATTTGATTAGCAGAAACGGCTTTTTGCATGTTATAATTCTATGTTTTTGGTGCACTATTTAAAGCACTTCCTCAATTAGTATAACAAAAAGGGTTAAATGTCATCAAGTAGACAGCAAAAAAAGGCACTCTTCTATACAGAAAACAACGTAATATAATATGTTGTTTGATAGATGAAAGCCTTGGCTTTCTATTGGTCTTAAATAATATAGTATTGAATGCCAGAGAGAACTATTGACAAATCCTGAAAGAGAGGATGTGGGTCTGGCAAGAGGGGTTCTGATTTTCTATTTAATGACTATGTAACCAAACAAAATTGAAGGCTAGGAAAATTATACTTTGCCTGAGCAATGACAACATTATAATAAGTAATTGATGTTCAATTTTGTACTTCTTGAAGAGGTAGTAAATAAATTAGAGAAGAAGGGATGCCTAGAGAAAAAAGTCACACTTGGATGAAATTTCAGGATTATTTTTTTTAATATTGCCTTATAAAATTAGAACTTAAAACTTATATACTATTAAAATATAGATTATTAGCTATGATCTTATACTATACTAATATGTATAACATGAAGAAAAAGTACTCGAATTAAATTTTGAATGTAACTTACTAAAAACATCGTGACATGTACAGTAAAGGATGCCTGTGGCGAGAGGGTTAAATCAAATCAGTACTTTCCAACTGCCTTAAAAGTTATTGTATTACATGGTTATTAATCCAGTCACTTGAGAGAATTTGAGATGGCTTCTAAACTGTCTTCAGTGGTACCTGAACACTTCATACTGCTAGGTGTGGTCACATCAAGGCAAAGTGTATATAATGTGACCAGACTATTTCTACTTCAGGAAAAATTACTTCTAACCTGCTGACACATCTGAAGGTAAGCCTTTTTATTATTTTTAATATGAACTATATTCTATGTAAATTACACAATATAATATAGGTAAACTTTCATTTATTTAGTATTACATGCTTTTATTATAAACTATATTCTATATAACTGAAATATGTTTTTCTATTTCTAGTGTAATTATGATGCTGAGATACAGAAGTCTACATCTGGCTTTGGTGCTTCTGCATTAGTGCAGCAGCATACTGTACAGAATCAACTAAATATATGTGTACACACCCTCATTAGAAGAACATCATTAACAAACTCGTCAATTTTATTGCTGGTACACTGCAACCCTTTTCAGTGGTAGAACCCAAAGATTTTTCTAGATCTAATGGCAGCCATGGATTCTTGGTATATTCTTCCTAGTTGCAAGCATCTGCCCACAATGTTGATCGAGAGCAGGTTTGATGAAGTTCAACAAAAAGTCATCTCTCTAATGCAACTTGTTTCCAACATCAATGTTACTGTGGAAATCTGGAGTAGCAGACAAATGCTGGCATGTCAGTTTCAAGGGACGTCACACATCTGATAACATTGCAGGTCAATATGATGAAATAATAAATCTCTTTAAGAACCATAAGGTTTCATATGTGACATCTGATAATGCATCCAACATAATTAAGGCTTTCTGCTTCCCTAGATTTGAACCACAAACACTACCTAGCGTGAGAGATGGTGATAGCTCATCGACAGAGAGTGACTCGGAAGATGAACTTTTGGATGGATCTAAATCAGCAGACAATTTATCCATATTTCTTCCTATACGTGACCCCTGCTTTTCTCACACGCTACAGGTTGTGGTCAGGGATGGCATGAAAAAAGCTGGACCACTGCTGAAAGTAATTTCCAAAGCATCAGCCATCGTGTCCTACAATCGAAAATCAACACAAGCAACTGATTTACTTGAGGAAGAGGCCAGAGTTCAGTTATTAACACAAACATGATGGAACTCATAAATTAAGATGATTAAGTCTTTATTGAAGATTCCCCAGGAGAACCAATGAGAATAATTACATCTTGGTAGTGATGGATCATTTCACCAAATGACCAGAAGCATATACCTAAATAAGAAGACAAAACTCTAGCAAGTAAGCTTATCAATGAATTTGTTTCAACATTTGAGGTGCCTTTAGACTTCACACAGCTCAAGGACCATGAACTATGAACCAAACTTGCTTGTGAAGATATCTCAATTCCTTGAAATTAGGAAGACTGGAACCATAGGCTTATCATCCTTTTTCTGATGGAATGGTGGAGAGATAGATATAACTGTACACTTTCAATTCAATTTTGTGGATGAACATAAGAGGATCAAGATGTTCGTGACTTACTGAACACAAATACATAAAGCTACAGGCAACACATCAACATTTCTGATGTTTGGAAGGCCATCCATCAGAAACGTCCTTAGAAACATGTCAGTGAAAGAATAATCACCCGGTTAGGTTTAATGAGGACTTCGTAGAAAGATGATAAATCAACCTGATGGAAACACCAGAAGTTTTCAATGACCATCTACACGAAGGGAATTCTGTTAATAACAAGACCAACAAATGAGGATTAAGGACCAAAGGTCATCCCATCTTTGCACCAGAAGCCACAGTAAAGAAAAAACTGTCAAAAGATTCGGCGACTGAGCAGTGTATGGACAGTAAATAAGTGAAGAAATTAGATTCTGTTTTGTAGATGAAAGTTTTGATTTTATTTTGTTTCAGTTAATCCATTAATGATTGTTAATATCTATGTTTATGAATATTAATGTAGTTAATTGTCAGGACTTAAATTTAAATAAATATAATAATTCTAAATTTTTTTTAAACAGTTTTTAACTCAGAAATATTTATAATTGATATTTTGCCATTTCATAACACTTATTTAATATAGTTTAAAAAGAATAAAACATTTGAACTTTCAGCATTAAATATTTTGATTAGTGTCATGCAGTATATCTGATTTAATCAAAATTAGTAACTAAATCAATTAATGTCATGAAAATAATCAGTAAATCAAAATTAGTGTTTATACTGTCTTTGATTATACCCATTATCCAAAGTCTCGTGAGAATAATCTATTAGTTTAATGCAATTGATCAATGAGCTTGATAGTGCAAGAATCATTCTGTTCAAAGGACTTTGAGATAGTGCAAGAAACATTCTGTTAAAAGGACTTTGAGATAGTGCAATAATCATTCTGTTATAAGGATTTTGAGATAGTGCAAGAAACATTTTGTGAAATGAAATGAGACAATGCAAGAATCATTCTGTTAAAAGGATTTTGAGATAGTGCAAGAAACCAATAGTGTGAAAAGAATTTTGAGACAGTGAACGAAACAGATTCTGTGAAATGAATTCTGAGACAGTGCAAAAAATAAAGTCTGAGAAAAGAACTTGGAAATTGGGCAAGAAATCGTCCATGTAAAAGTCTTTGAGAAACTTCAACAAAGAAACAAGGACAAGAATAGGGTCTACAAGAAGAATTAACAGCTCAAATATTTAACATTTAATCAGTACGCTAAAACAACAGAACTAGCATTTAGGGAATGAAATTTGTTCTTAGTATGGAACTGAACTATGAATTTGAAATTATATTAGTGGTTACACAGTTTGGAAAATAGTTGGAAATCTTCTTTATTAAATTTAATGGTACCAGTTTTTTTGTTATAATAAATGTTCCTTTCTTTCACAGTCCTTTTTTTTTTTACAGTAAAACTTTTATTACAAAA